GGGTTTCCCCTTCCCAGGGGAGTTTTTTTTTTTTTCCCCAGGCTTGTAGGATTTAAAACCTCCTCACAAGGCTTAATGAGCCGGAAATTCCCTGTCGCTGCAAAACGCGAGGAGAGGTGCCAAAGCCGGGGCTGAGGAGCAGTTCTTCTGCCGGCGAGCTGGGGGGGGTTGCTTGGCAATCGCTACAAAAAGCCCTAAAGAAAGTTAAAGGAACAAATCCAGCCGCTTGAGCGTTTTGTTCTTATGGGTTTTGACAGCTGAATTATTCCCCCCCCTCCCCTTTTCTTAATAACCTGTTTCTTGCTTCCATCCCTCTGCTCCTTCGGGAGCTGCGGAAGTTTCGTAGGTGATTAGAAAACGCACCGATCTGCCTTCTCCAGATTTATTGCCATTAATATATACTGGTTTCCCAGAGAGGAGGCTGAGAAAGCAACACAAGGTGTTCGCCCTTCTAAAGCACCACAAATGGAAGGAGAAACCTGGTGGTTTGTGATGAAGGTTTCTCCTGTGGGACTGACTCTGCTTTGGGACTACTTAGCTTCTGAGTGGAGAGTTTCTGCAAAAAAACCCACTTTTTTTGAGGTTTTAGGGAGAAGCAGGGTGCATGTGTGTTGTGGCACCCATTGGTTGGTGTCACCCATGCCAATGTTGGGTTGGTGGAGAGGGTGTGGGGTGGTTGGGGGCTGCCATGTTCCCCAGAATGCCTTGGGGTTGCAGAGGTGGAGAATCGTGTGAGGCTGGAAGTAGGAAATTGCTGTAGCCGACGCTGGGCAAACTTCTGTCTCTTCTTAATTAAAAGTTTAATGACAGAAGAGGAGAAAGCAGCATGAGGCAGATGATCACTGGAAGTGCTGGTTATTGCAGACGTGGAGCCGGTTCTGCCGCCCCCGTGTACGTGGAGTTACAGGCTCTGGCTGCTGCGGGGGCACGATGGGGTTGGTGGATCAGGGGCCATGTCTCCTGTGGTGTTTTTGGGCCATTTCCCTCTGCTCCTCTCCACTGGATAATATCTCAGGGGATGGCAGAGGCAGATGAGAGGGTTTGAAACACAGCGTCAGCGACTCAGCTGCTAATTATAGTTGCCGGACGTGATCAAAGAAGGCACGGCCCTTGCTCGTTCGCCTCCTCCCATTTCCCCTGCTCGAGCACTGAAGAGGAAAAACTCTTCTTCCTCTGGCTGTTCAGGCTGTGCTGGAGCAGGCAGCCCTTCTTACATGGAGGTGTTGACCTGGAAGCAAAGGGGGGACGTTTTGGGGCATGGCAAGCTCAAAGGGTGGCAGCAAGGAGAATGTGGGGGGCTGTGCATGCAGGTGGCATGTCTGGGATGCTGGGGTCCTCCTAGAGTCTGCCAGGTGAACCGTCGATTGTTGGGGATTTTCTCCTTGGCTGCGGCTTTGTTTTTTGTGGATCACTTGAGGAGGTGGGTGCTGGATCAGGCCCTGGGGGATACTGCGGTGAATGTGTGTGTGGAGAGTTTGGTGCTCATTTTTTTTCCTGTGGTCACCTGGAATCTTGTCACCAAAATGTGTGTGTTGTTTTCAGAAAACCTTATTTTTCCTTGAAGGTGTACAAACACAAAAATGTGCTCCCAGCCCTCAAAAAAACCCTGTACTTCTGGATGGAAAATATCTCTTTTTTCACAGTTTTTTAGGGTGTACTGAACTGCCCTTCTCCCACAGGTGTGCTGAACTATTACTGTTCCCTTACTTTCAGCTGAGGCAATAGGTGCTAAGCTCATACTTTGCTCTCGGGACATGTAGCAGTTTTCTCCTTTCTCATCTTGCCTGTGTTTTAGCTGTCTTACAGCACATGTGTTGTCCCTCTGCAGGTGTTTGCGTGGCAGACGTGCTTGCTACCACTTTGCTCAGCTTTCTTTTCCTCTGTGTGAAACCCTAGGGTGCTCGGGCAGTCCGAGAAAACCCAAAAAGATGTGGCCTCTTTGGGGACTGGACCTGAACCGAGTCCGCTGCGACCTGCTCTTCACAGAAGCCATCAATCAAAGGATGCAGGTTCCCAACAGGCTGAAGGTAGCAGAGAGCTTCAGCCCTCTGGATGAGGAACCAGCAAGAGAGGATGTCCCTCCTTCCTTGCGTATGCACATCCCTGACAGGATTTCCCTTGCAGGTAATGTCCTGGGTTGTGTGTTTGGGGTGGCTGAAGGTTAATGGGGCTCTACAACATCCTAGGGAGTAGAATCCCTTTATGAAGCCTCCAGTGGTTTGGTTTAAAAGAGGAGAGGACTGGGGCTGATATTTCAGTCAGCCACCTTCTGGATGGTTGAGGGGAGAGGTGGGCAAAAGTGACCGATGGATGGTAGGAGAGGCTTCTTAGTTCCAAAAGGTGAGGAGAAAAATGTGGAGGCGTCTCCCCATACTTCTCTTGGCCGTTGGCAGTCTCCCTGTTTTGGGATGCAGAGATGTGTGGCCCTGTCTCTTTGAGGAGGAGCTCTGAAACCTCTTTCCTGGAGTAGCGTGTCCAGTTGCTTTCCGGTCCATACATCTCCAGGCTGTCCTGCTGCTCACACCCGTGGGACGTGGTTCTTGATGTACAACTGATCCTAGACACAGGGTTGACTCTCCTTCATGGGTGGATCTCTTCTCTCCCGTCTCTGAAGCCATTTGAGGTGGTTTAATTCCTCCCTCTCTCCTCTCTATAGAAATATCAGATGCCAGTTTGAGGCCCGTTCTGCTGAACAAGCAAAGGAAAGTCCCCTCTGTAGTGGTGCACGTGTCCCCGGACTTCTCTGCGCCGCCTGCCAGCCTCGAGGAGCTCTCTCTTCTGCACGTAGCCAGCAGATCAAGCTCCCAGAAACGCAGACGATCGGTACTGTATTGAGAACAGATGGGGTTGCCTGTGGTGGGAAGGGGGACTAATCCCAATATTGGGTTTCTCCAGAGGTATATTATCAGCCCAGGCCAGAATTTGTCTTCCAGAGTGCCTCTTTCTCCTAGGAGGTCCTAGGAGTGAGGGTGTAGGGATCGTGGGATTCTTTCTGTCCCATAACCAGTACACCTGTGTGCTGGGACATTGATTCAGCCACATCTCCACTGCATTCTGTGAGCAGGAGGTAGGCTGAGGTAGGTGCAGTTCCTCCACAAATTCCTCCTGCTGTTTTTGAAGTTGCTTTTCAACCGTGTTTTCTCCTGGATGAAATGCAAGACAGAGCTCTTTCATCATTGTGGCACAAAGGGTTCTAGTGCCAGAGTTGAAAGAAAATTCTAACCTTGTGTGAAACTAAGTCAAGGAGAGACTCTTGACACAGGCAGGCAAAGGCTTGGTTGGGCTCCTAGAGCTGCTGAGCTGCCTTCTCAAGCATTTTCACCTCTCTGAGGTCCAAGAGCCATTCCCAGATGCATTAGGTTCAGGATTTTAAATCTGAATAAGAGACCAGATCATCAGGCTCCTTGCTGGTCACCCTCACCCTGCTGCGAGCATGTCTCCCCACCCACTCCAGCATCAGCTCACCAGATTTGGAGCGCATTTAATGCTTCCACTGCCAAGTGCTTTCCTTTCCCTGTGCCGATGGGCTCCTGGCACTGCAGGGCGCTGGGCTGGGCTCACCCTGTGCAGGGTCTCTGCACGGTTGTGTTTGATGCGATCGGGGTTGTGTTTGATGCCAACAGGGCCATCACAGCAGCAGATCGCGACGGGAGAAGACTCCAAGCGACTGTACCCAACTGGCCTTACACAGCCCGGGCCGGCACCGCGAGCGGTGAGCGCAAACCCAGAGCAGTCCAGGGCGGGTGGGGATCAGCATCTCCTGTTGTCTGTGCTCCTTTGGTGCTCTCTGGTCAGTGCCCTGAGGTGGGGGGGTTGGGGGTATCCAGATGTGCCTGGCAAGTCCTGCTCTTGCACAAGAGGAACATGGTTTCTGGCGTCAGAGAGGTTTGTCCCAGCGTTGAAGGCAGCTATGTCGGTCCCGAGGGTGATGAGATGCACGTGGGAGAGCACATCCCCTCTCGCAGGACGCTGGGAGTTCTGTTAGTCCTTGCTTGGCCCTCAGGCCAGAAGGACCTTGCTGCCCTCTTGGGCTTGTTCCAGTCTCTCTGGCTCTACCCATTTTCTGAGAGGTGCTTTGCAATGTACTCTCTGGCTCCAGCACCAGCATGGCAGGTGGCCATGGAGGCTACAGGCCAGTGACCACTGGCAAATGAAGCACTGGGGCTTGACTGGGTTTCCACAAGGGGTGTTGAACCTCACAGTGCCGTGCAGACAGGGTGGGCTAAGAGCACACTTGTTTTTCAGCCCTCTGAGCGTAGCTTATGAGCAGTAGCGTGGTGCCCCCTCCCTGGAGATGTTCAAGGCCAGGTTGGACAGAGCCTTGAGTAGCCTGATCTAGCTGAGAGGTGTCGTTGCCCATGACAGGGAGGTTGGATTAGACGATCTCTAAGGTCCCTTCCAACTTAAGCCATTCTATGATTCTCTGTTAGCAATCCTGTGCTCATGGCCTTGGGCTCTGGAGTGTCTCTAGTGGAGAGTTTGTCTCTAACTTAACCCCGGAGCAGAGACACCTTTTTCCTTACAAGTCCAGGGTTGTCCTAGGTAGCAGGAGAGCTGCCTTCTGCAGCCCCCTAGGAGAGGACTGGTTATCACACAGCCATGGTTGGCTTCGGATCAGCTGAGTGACTACCTCTGAGCCCAGGGGCTGCTGGAAGGGATTCTTCCCCCTTAGTGACGTGGGGATATGACATGGTGATGTCACCCAGAGATGCTTGGAGCTGCCGAAGGGATGCCAAAACGCCATTCTGTGCCCATGCCAGGAAATAACAGGTGTGATTCTCTGTGCACCCCAGGCCAGACGCGTGCCCCCCGCCCACACACAGTGCCCCGCTCCCCCTCCTCACGGGGACAGGCAGGATCTACTCCATGCAGAACATCTTCCAGACCATGTACCTTCTGGGTCAGATGCTCTTCCACCGTGTCCAGGACTCTCTGCAAGACCCAGTGCCATCCAGGTGACTCCGGCTCCTCTCGAGCCACCTCCCTGTCATTCTGCAAGGACTTGCCTTTGCCTCCCGAAGGCATGAGCTGGGTGCACCCTGGTAACCCAGCCCAGCTTGTGTTCTCCTCCCTAGCCCTAACACTGGTCCCCCAGGCACCCCAAGTGGTGGAACCTTGCCTGCGACATCGCCGGGATTTCAGCTGTTCTTTGCTGCTGAGCAAATGCTAATTTCCCTGCATGCCTTGATAGCTCGGTGGAGGAAAAGGTGTGAAGGGAATCTAAATCCCGAACAGCCAGCCTGACTCAGGTTCTGTCCCTGAGACAACCTCTCCTGCAGACTCCCAGCACCCTTGGCTGTATCTTGCTCACTGTTAATTAACCTTTTTGATGAACTTGCTGCACCAGAGCTGATGCCTCTGACCAGGGTGCAGTATGCCTGCACAGAGCAGGTATGCAATGACCTCAATCTCTCCGCATTTGCTGGAGCAGCTCTCTCCACCACGCTCTTATCTGTGCCAGCACAGGGAATTTAACGTGCTCTAAGACATCGCTGCAGCCTTAAGGTGTCTCCACTGCTCTAGAGCTGCTGAGCACCCAGAGGAACATCTAAATACTTTTTATTCTCCTTGAGCGAAGCCTCTAGGCAGAAAGGGAGGAGACTGAGCATCCATCACCAGTGCCACCAGTGGCACACCCCCCCCAGCTGGTGTGGAGCTGTGGGCAGCAGAGCTGGCTCCTGCCTGCTGACGATGCCACGTCACTGCTTTTAAGACAATCAGCCTTCTGTGGTTCAAATGCCACCTTTTTTTTCTTTTTGGAGAAGTCTGGGCATGCCAACCGATCTGCTCAGTGGCTGCGTAAGACTTTCTTCCTCCTCCCGTCAGTGGTAGGGTGGGTTTCGGCCATGAGAGGTGGTAGATCAGGGGACCGTTGTAACGCGGTGGGATGAGTCCCCAGTTCTCAACAACTTTGTACCCCCAAGCAATAATTAAAAAATGACTGAGCTGACTTGTTTCTCCTGACATTTTAGTGAAGAAAAGACTGGTCTTGGACAGGAATATTTGCCTGATGGCGTCCTCTTGAAGGATATGAGTCATGGGAAGGTGGTTCCTAGTCTCTGCTCTGGAGGGTGTTCACCTGTATCAACTGGGATTTTTATGTCAAAAGCTGCAGGATGTGTCCATTTTTTTTTTCTTTTAATGGCTATATGCTGAGGGAAATTGTATTTTCTTTCTGTTATGGCTTTGAGTTTATACAGCAGCTACATTATGTGGAAGTATTATTTCACAAATGTATTTGCAGGGAAGAGATATTTGCTGAATCTCCACATGCTGTTCTGGCTTGTCTTCCGTGAGATCAACATCATGTTGCAAACAGGAATAAATACTTTCTCCCCTCCAAGGGAGTGGTGTTAGACACTCATTAACCTGTATGGTATCAGCGGGTGCCCACACAACTTATTGGTGTGCATAGGGGAATTTTGATAATAGAACTGGTGGAGGGACAGCCTATGAGAATAGGAACAACAGGCTGAAGGTGGCAGTTTTGATTTTTCTACTTTATTTTGTGGCTTTATTTTGTAGCTTGGTGTTCTGGGCCCTGCAGCAAGGCTGTGTCTCCAGGGGGTGCCCTGGAGATCTGTGGTCTGTGTTGCCTCTGCCGGTGCAGCAGCTAATCCCAGTGGTAACCCCTTTGTTTCCAGGGGTTGAAGAAAATGGTGCGTCCTTGGGTTGCTTGTTTATATTTCAAGTTGCAACAGCAAAACCTGGTACTTTTTTTTGTCGGGGGGATGGGGAAAGTAAGCTCGTGGTACCTGGAAATACTGGAGGGGAACGAATCCTTGTCTCAGCAAACACAGGACCATTTTCTGCTGCTCAGATAGTTCCCCCCAGCTGACGGCTGCTTCCCACCAGTGGGATCCTCACCCGCTGATGTAAATGTGATCATCCCTCCGTTTCAGCATTGGCCCTGGGATATGTGTTTACCTGACTGGCTCTAAAGAAGTTTTATCCCACTCTCAGTTAATTCCTTTGGCTATAGAGAATGGATGCTTAGTAAATACGTCTTCCCTCTGTTACGCCTCTAAAGAAACCCAAGCATGCATTTGCCCCTTGTCTGTCCTGGCACGTGCTGCATGTTTTGTTGCAATCACTGTGAGGCCCTTGGTGGTGGGGTATAAATATGCATGGTGGGGGTTAAGAAGGGATGAGCAGATGCTATGCAGGTGCTGTTTCCTCTCTGCTCATGCTGCACCCAGACAGCACATCCCAGGCACGCACGTGCTGCCTGCATGGCTCAGCTCCCCACGGCAGCGCCGGGAAGGCAGTTGCACCTTCTGAGTGTTGTTTGCCTGTCTGCATATTTGATTTTCTTCCCCAGCTCCCAGGAGGCTGGCCCAGTCCCAGAGAGTGCCTTGGAGGAGGTCACGGTGGCTGAGGTGACAGCAATGAGAAGACAGGTGAGATGGGGGTTGAAGGGCTGCAAATATTTCCTGGGAAAGCTGTAGGAGGGTGGACGAGGAGGCTCCAGGGGTCTGTAGCTCAGTCCTGGTGGGCTGGTGTTGGCTAAGCTGGTCTTACTTACGTGTGTGTGACCCCTCAAACTCCTACTATGAGGGGTTGTCAGGCTGCAGGAGACAGCCAGATGCCTACATCTGCTGGCAGTAAAGGGCTCCTACGCTCTTCTGTTGGGAAGAACCCTTTCCTGTAGCATCTTCTTAGGAGCTGAGGCACTGCTGCAAGTTCTCCCACACAAAGGTAGCTGCTGCTCTAGAAAAGCAGGACCTGGAGGAGATGGCAGCTCCCATCCCTCCATCCTTTGCTGTCCCACGTCTCTGGGCTGTAGTCCCTGCCCTTTGCTGCAGGGCTAACAGTGGCCCCACTGCTTCCCTTGCAGTTGACGAGGATCTCGGGGAGGCTCCGTGTGCTGGAGGAGCAGTGTAACGCCTGGCGACAGAAGGAAGCCCTGGTCTACTCCGTGATGATCTCCGCCTGCCTGATCAACACGTGGCTCTGGCTGAGGAGATGATTTCCCACGCCCCGACCTCCCCTGCACAACCCAGGCAGGGAGAGGATCCTTGCTCGTGTACTTGCAAGCAGCAAAACTAAATGTTTCTTATTGACTTGCTTTTTCTGCACTGTGGGCCTTTGAGGGTTTGTGTCCTTTAAGCCCCAGTTACAAGGAAGGTGCCATCCCTCTCACGTGCTGTAGCTTTGGAGGTGGGTGAGGGAAATGATGAAGCTGGACCTCATGCCAGAGCAGCTGGAGATGGGTGTCAGGGAGAGGTGGGGTACAAGGACTGTGGCCCAACAGGCACAGTCCCAGGGCTGGGCTGCAAAGGTTCTGTGTACACTAGCCACATCCTTGTATGTTTGATGGGATCAGTGCCTGGGTGGGAAGCTCCCGTGAAGAGCCCAGGGGTCAGGAGAGATTGGTGGCTGATACAGGAGGTGTCTTGTCCTGCGCAAAGCAACAGGAGATGCTCTGGCCCTTAGGCTGTCCAACAGAGGAGATGCAAACCCAAGTCATTGGGTGTTGGTTGGCATGGGGTCCTGTTGCAATCTTACACTGTCATGGGCTCAGTCTCGTGAGCACCCAGCTTGGATAACTCAGTTCTGACCCCGTAAAAGTCCTCAGCCAGCCGCTGTGGTCTTTTCCTCATCTTCCATCCTAAAAGCTTGTGCAGAGTAGTTGAGTGTTTTTGAACTGCTGGTGGTTTGGTTTTTTTTTTCTTCTTTGTGCAACTGTTCTTTGGTGGATGTGGTGCTGCCAGTTCTCCCATAGCCCCTGCTCTAGGCTCTATGGAGCTGGAGGGACCAAGATCTCCCGTCCCTGCAACGCTACTGGGCCACCTTCTCCTCAGCTCCTGTCCTGATGGAGGCAGTTCAGCAGTGAGTTTGCAAATGTTCAGATTCAAAGTAAGAGCGTTGGTGAGATCTGGGCTTATCCAGGAGCTTGGCTCTTTCCCAAAGAGATATTTAAATGGGAAGCCTCCCCATGGTGTACCTGGGGATTATAACACCTTGTACCAACAGTGGCAGCAGCAGACAGGCTGTGGAAAATTGCCCATTTGGGCAGCAGTAGATATTTATTAGGCTGCCAGTGCCAGAGGGTGGGATTGCTCCCAGGTCTGCCACTAAGCTGTAACTTCAGCGATGGTATGAGAACACAGGTGAGGGAAATTCTTGCCCCAGATACCCTTTAGCTAAAATGAAGTGCACCTGAGCAGCTTTGCTGTTTCTTTTCTTCTGCAGAGTTTAGTAACACTTGGATCTGAGGTGGCTTTGAGGACACTTTTGGTGGTTCATCCAGCACATCTCCTGGAGTTGTGCTTGCAGGCTCTGGGGGCAGGTTTTGGCATGGCTTAGCAGGATCTCTCTGTTCTGCCTGTAAATAATTGCAGCTGTATCTGCAGGTCATCCAGGTGTCCCAAGAGATTATTTGCAGACATTGATGGCTTGACTGTTTTCTGCCTGCAACTGCATCAGGCATCTATGACTGTAAATCTGGCAGCTGGACGTTGACTAATAAATAACTGTCCCCCAAGTAATTGCAGGTCTGAACCTGTGCCTGATAGTTGAGCTGAGGAGAGCGCTGAAATTTATTGCAAGCGAGAGCCGGGACGATGCGGAGGGCCTGCTGAGGGATGGAGGGGATGGAAGCACTGGTGCAGCGGTGATTCCTGTGGCTTGTGGCTGAGGGATGGGGTCAGGGGTACCAGAGGACCTTGCACAACCTGTCTGTCTAAGGGGGCTACTACTGGGTGATACGTACTGGAAAAGTAGATAAATTATTGGGCTGGTTGATCTTCTCTGAGAGAGAGGTGCAAATAGATTTTGGAGGAAGCTTGTGCTTTGTGGTTTGTTTGTTTTGTTTTTTGTTTTAAAGATGTCTTTTAGGGTGAGAAGGGCTGACCCTTTAGGGGGACACACCACCTAGAAAGTGTGAGTTGAAGATGTCCGGAGGAGAGGTGGTGGACTGTAGATGTTCTCAAAGGCTAATTATTGGGAGGCCTACAGGGATACAATATGACTTTCATGTAAGGTATAAATCCTGGTGTAAATCTGGAAATGTTGACCCATAAAATGCATATTTTAATAAACTCCGTGTGTTCTGGACATATTTCTTCTACCAGCTGTGGAGTTTGATCCCGGTATCCCAGTGGATAGAAACAGGTAAGGTTATTCCTGTCATAGGCTGGACAAGATCTCAGAGGTCTTCTCCAGCCTCAACAATTCTGTGATTGTGTGATTCCCTTGGTTCCTAGATCAGGACTCTGATCTGATGCTGGATGTCTCAGCCGTGCATCCGTGGACACTGGATTTCTGACACTGCCAGAGCTACAGGCTGTTTGGCTCAGTGGTCTAAAACACGCATGCCAGCTGCCCCAGCCAGGGAGAGTTTCTGGTCAATGCCATCCCTATTGGGGCACGATGCTTTTCTTTCTCTCTTCCCTGCCTTCTCCTCCTGGCTCTTCTTTGCCCCAGGGCAGCACATGTGGCAGGGCTGGGTGTCTCCTAGAACCACTGCCACACTGGAAGATAAAGTCTTGTGCAGTACGGTGCTTGAAGGAGCTGTGACAGAGCAGCTTCTGGAGTTCCCGTGTTCTTGTGAAGGCAGATGCGGGGAGGGACCCAAAGGAGAGGTGGAAGGGGGATGTGCTGCTGCCACTGCTCCTTCTCTGTGAGCTGTCTCCAGTGCTGGCATCTGTGGAGTGGGGACAAGAGCAGGGTGGCATGTTCCCTGCTGCTGGGTGCCCACCCAAGAATCACCCAATGCCTCCAGCAGCCCCAGCTGCAAAAATTCCTTTTCATCAGGCTCCCTGCTGGCAAGGTTTTCAGGGAGATCAGAACAAGTGGAACTTAAGGCTTTGAAAGGGAAAAAATATAAAATAAAAGGTAAACCTTTGTTAGAGAAGGGACTCCTGGTGCTGGTGCTTTCAGAGCAAGCCTGCACACAAGGCAGGGCTCCATGTCTGCGGCAGGGATTGATCCAGCCTCAGCCACTGCAAGTGGCTCTCCAGTAGGTCCTGGAGAAGGGGTAAAAAGAGTGCTGGGAGGGGAGCAGAAGCAGGCGGCTCAGGAGACAATCCTGGCAGGTCCTGAGCTCAGCTGGGGATCTACTGGCTGTGCCTGTCCCCAGGAGGGCAGTGACCTTGCCTCAGTGTTGGGGAGCTGCTGGACCAGAGCTGCTCAGCCCAGCTGCGATCTCCAGCCGAGCTCTGCCCTGAAAGATGTCTGGGTTCCCTCCAGCCACCAAGGAGGGGACAGGGGGAAAGAAGACGTGCAGTTAGGGAAATGGAGCATCCCTGAGCAGCATGTTTCCCTCCTCCCCTTTCATCTCCCAGACACAAAGCTGTTAACTCATCTGAAGTGTGCTTTGCTGCTCAGGGCATTGAGGATGCTCAGGGGATGGGCGTGCTGGAGTGATGAGACACGCTTGTGTGCATCCTCCCCGTGCACTGCTTTGCCACTGGCCAGCTTGCCTGCTTCTCGGCTTGGCCGGGACAGGAGTGCAAGCAGCCCCGCTTGTGCCAGCTTTGCTTTCCAGCTGAACTCACGTTAAGAAAGCCTGAGTTCTCTGTAGACAGCCCAGGAGGTTCCCAGGGGAGGATGCTCCCCAGAGTCCCTGCTAGCCTGTGTTAGGCAACAGCCAAGTGTTGGAGGCTTCGAGGGACACCAGGCTCGTAAGTGGACAGTGGTGGCATCTCAGCCTGGGGAGGTGGCTTACCTGGGTGTGTGTGACTGTCCCTGTGTCCCTGTCCCTGTGGATGTAGTCTTTGTGCATGTTGGCAGAGGTGCACAAGGCGTTGCAGTCTGTGTACAGTCTGTGATTGCCTTCTACCGAGCAGAGCCTTGGCCATGGGCTGCACCATGTGAGAGTACAGGTGTGTTGTCTCCAGGAACCTGCTCCATTGGTGAGTTGTGGAGGGTGCTGTGCCCCGGGGGGAGCAGATGGGGTGGCCAGGGTGGGAATATGTGGTTTAGGTAGGGCTGGGCGATGCCTGTGTGCCTTTGTGTCCGTGCATGCGCAAGTCTGCACTTCCGTGAGGTGTTTTTGCGTGGTGTGGTCTACACTAGGGTGCAGCAGAACTGTGAGGGCTGCAAGAGATTCTGAGACTGGGCAAGCCCCATGGGCATCTTGCTTTTTACATAAACTCTGGTGAAATCTCACACTTTCCAGCTCCACAGCAGCCTCTGCTTATTAATGTAGGGTCTTTGCTGCTCTCCAAAACCAGATGGTAGCTCCTGCCAGCAGGAAACTCAGTGACGTTCTTTTTAAATAGCAAACCTTAATTTCCAATGCAAAGGAGATTTCTGCAGTGACAAGAGGTGGGGCTCACTGGGCAGACCACCCTCAGGTTGCAGTGCCCTGGGGAAGGAGAGCGGTTGCTTGGGTGCAAATGCCCTTGTACGCGCAAAGTCCACCCTGTGCTGCTGCATGACGGCATCTCCTTGCCAGGGCTGGCCTTGTGCTTACACCTCTTACGAGTCTGTCTTCTCATCCTTGGGCAGGCAGTGGTGCTGAGAGCCATGGGCTGGTTGTTATGGCACAGCTCGCTGGGGATGCTGTTGCCCTGGCAATGGCTGAGGAGCCTCAACAACAAGGAGAGCATATTTCACGGGCCACAGATAGATGTGGCAGCTCTTGGGAAAGCTGAAATGCTCTGCAGGACTCTTACTGCAGCATCAGCTATAGCTGGTGGTAGAAAACGTGGGGTCAGCGCATCCCACGGGGTTTGATCCTCTTTTCCCATGCTGTGCTGTATCTCTCTGTTTGAAACACCTGATGTGTCCTGCATGGCTCTTCATGTGACTGTTTTCTGCTCTTTGCAGGTCTCTGGGGTGGAGTGTGTGCCTGTGGCCTCCTCACATGGAGAATGATGGCCAAGAGTAATGGTCTGCAGAGCTTGCTGGCCAACAGCAACCCCTGCCCGCCCACCCAAACTCGAGAGAAAGATGATGTAGAGGAGATGGTGCTCAGCACCAGGAGGTCAGGCTGGTCCCTGGTTTGGTTGAGGGAGGCAGCGGTGGGGCGGGGGTCAGCTTGGTGTATCGGCCGAGACCTGGAATGGGCTGAGCTGCAATGCCAGACCTCAGCTGCCTGCTTCCCCCAGTTCATCTGGCTGCAGGCACGTGCCATGGTGGTACAGTGTGGCTGGGAGTCCCCTCTTCCCCACTGCAGGACCTGCTCAACCCAGGATGACACGTCAGAGATGCAGAGAGGAGCTCCGGCGGATGGAGGGGAGCAGCCAGCTGCCTCTGCTTTCCAAGGCAGGCAAACCCTGGCCAGGTACCTGCGTGTGCTGCTGGTCCAGGGTGAGCCTGAGGCTTTTGTGCCTGGCTTTGACACCAGGGACTTGCATGGTTTCAGTCCCCTCCTGCTGTACGGCATCACAGGCTTTCAGGGACCAGCATATGTGAAAGCTGCTTCGTGTGCCTCAATACCCACAGGGAGGATGTGGGAGAGGATGGCTCCATCACCTCTGGGGCCCCAGGAGGTCTGAGAGGCTCCCTTCCTTCGCATGCAGCCTTACTCTGCCCCAGTCACCCACTTGTTCCTAATGGCCCTGTGGGAATGGCAATAGGACTGGGGAAGGCGCTGCTGGACTCTGCTAGGGTGGGCTCTCCTGCTCAAGAATTTGTGGTTCTGCACCATCACTATAAGAGGGGAACAAGAAGAAAGGCTTGAGAGGGACCTGTGAAAGTTTTCTTTACAGCTGTAGCCCCCGTGCTTGCTCTCAAGTTTTGCTTTCTCCTTGCTCCTCAGGCACCTTCTGACTCTGCCTCTCTCCCCCATCCAGGATAGTCCGGCTGGTGCTGGTGCTGAGGGACTGGGCCAGCAGGAGCTTGCATGAAGAACAACAAAGGACAGACCCCTTCCTGGAGCGTTTCCAGGGTCCCCAGCTCCAGACAGTGGCTGCAGGCACAGGCAGTGATCTGGAGGATGAAGAGACTGAGGAGGAAAACAAAAAGTAGGTTCCCTTTCCTGTGGCCTCAGCTGTTTTTGGCTGGAGATCAACCACGTGCAGAGCTGGGGGGGTCCCAGAAGCGGAGGTGAATGGAGATGGGAAAGGAGGAGGTAGCTGCAGTGGTGGGAAGGGTCCTCTCTGCCCTCTCCAGGCCCTGCCCTGCCCTGGTTCAGTTTGACGAAGAGGAGGCTGAGGGGGGATCTCATCATGCTCTACAGTTACTTGAAAGGACATTGTAGAGAGGTTGGTGCTGGTCTCTTCTCACCGGTAATTAGGGACAGAGCCAGGGGGAATGGTTGCAAGTTGCAACAGGGCAGGTTTAGGCTGGACATTAGGAGGAAATTCTTCATGGAAAGAGTGGTCAGACCCTGGAACAGACTGCCTAGGGAGGGGGTTGAGTCGCCATCCCTGGATGTGTTCAAGTGTCACTTGGATGTGGTGTTGGGTGAGATGGTTTAGGGGTGACCTTGTAGTGTGGGGTTAATGGTTGGACTCGATGATCCCAAGGGGCTTTTCCAACCTGAATTGCTCTGTGATTCTATGATTCTATGAAACACACATTGCACGGATCATCACAGCTACCAGACCTCCCTGTTTTCAGAGCAGTTCAACACTAGGGTCGGCTTTTAGAGCCTACCCTGGATCTGTAAAGAGATGCACCTTCAGCCTGGGCATAGGGATCCTGCTCTGGCAGGGGGGTTGGACTAGATGATCTTTCGAAGTCCCTTCCAACCCCCGACATTCTGTGATTCTGTATGAGGAGCTGAGGTCAAACCAAGGGATGTGGGATCTCCGCCCAGGAGACGACAACAAGCACAAACACCTGGGATTTGCCAGCCTCATTCATCATCTGAGGGACGGAGATGAAGGGAGCGCGTTTGCTCCCACCCCCAAGAACAGACACTGACAGCAGCTTTCTACAAAGGCTCTTTCAAATCCAGCCCCTTTCATCTTCTCAGCTCACGCTCCTGGTGAAAAGCACTAACCTGGCTTTTCTTTTGCTGGCTAATTAAAGGGCAAAGCTCTTGGACTACCCTGGACCCCACCATTATATATATATATACATGGTAATTAAAACACCAAGAAATAGTTGTTTTCTGTAGGAGAAAAGTATCTGAGCCTCGTATCTGGGTCTCCACTAGTTGTCAGAAAAACCACTCTGCCCTGCGAGGTTAGGGGGAGCTTGTTAACTATCAGAGAGGAGTTGAAGCCTGCCACAAAAGGGCTGCTTGGGGCCAACGGGCTCCTGGGGAGATGGTGGTAACTTCTGTCATTTGCTAGGTCCCCAGCACCACAGGTGAGAAAAAGCCCCAAGTTTGATAACTCCAAACATGAGCTGCTGTTCACAGCTGTGGAAACGTCCACAGTCTCAGGCTCGGGTGCAAAGCCTTTGGGAAGAGGCCGATGATTATTCCCTCCTCCTGAGTTAACCCTGATTTTCCAGCCCTGGCCCTGCTGTCACTGTAATGGCAGTGACTCTGGCCACCTGCCAGGAGCAGCACTGGTGATTTAAACCTGGAATTACCAACATAATTAACACCATTATTGAGGTTATTAGTGCTTGTGGGTGTTACAATGACTGGTTGGCTTCAGGTGAGGCAGCGCTTCCCGTGTGCCGGCAAAGGATGCCTTTCTCAAGAAAAGTTGTGCTTTCTGAGCGAAAAGATAAAGAGTTTTATGGAGAGGTTAGACCACCTTCGTGTTTGTGGCAGTACCCAGAGTGAATGTGAAGGACCGCAGCTGGCTTAGTGCCGAGCGCTGGTCCCCACGCTCTGGGCACCGCGAGGGCTGCTGCCGGGGAAGGCGACTTCAAGGCAGAGATTTTGCTTTTGAAGCCATCAGAAGCAGTGGGATGGGCACAGGGAATCTGCTGGCAAGTGGGTTATTGGTTTTTTGTGTTGGTTTTTTTTTTTCCTATCACTGGAGGGTGTTTTGCATGTTCAAAAGATGGAACGGAGGGGAGAGGGAGTCTTGCCCTACCAGCTAAGCCTATCAGCCCAGCTGCAGAGTTTCTCTTTCCTGCTTTCTCCAGCGAGATCTCGCGGCTGGAACACTCACATCTTATCTCAGAGCCCCAAGATGAGCAGGATCAAACACTTGGGAGCAGTTCAAAGGCTGGACCCAGGCAGGACTGAGGAGACTTCAGGCAGGCAGCTGCAAGCAGCAGGGTGACACGGCAGCCTTGCGATGCCAGCTGCCCCCTCTGGCTGCTGCTCTGGGGCTTGGGCGTCGCCTTCTGGTGCTCCCACTGATCTGCAGAACACTTTCCTTCCTGCTCTAATTAATCTCCTCTCAAGATCTGTCTGGCACCCATCCATACATCATCTGGGAGAGGTGATGCCACGTAACAAGAAGTTTTCTAATCACCCTCTCCAATACATCTGTTTGTGGCTCTGCCACAGGGATGCTGTGTGCATGTAGGCCACCTGCTTTGCCTTACCATCCTACAGTTTCCTGTTTTGATACATTACTGAGCCCAGTTTTGGGGATAAAGGAGCTTAAACAGTGCTGGACATTCTTTGCTCAGCGCTGCAGGGACTGGTTTTAGCTTACAGATTGGCGCTCATGCTGCAGCTGTGTGTGAACCAGTCTAGTGCAAGGGATGAAGGCTGTGGCTTGGCTCCTTCCAACCCTATTTTCTGTGTTTAGCCCTTTATTCATACATTGCCAGCTCTAGATTCTCTCTGCTTCCAGGAAGAAATGGCAGATCTTTGTGGTGGACCCTGCAGGGGACTGGTATTACTGCTGGCTGGCTGTCGTTGCAGTTCCTGTCCTCTATAACTGGTGCTTGCTCATAGCCAGGTGAGCTGGGAAGGTCCCTGTCTCCTCTAATTCTCCTGTTTACCCATTTGTTGTGGCTCAGCCGGGATCAGACAACTAACTGTTGTTAGTTGTGCTGCTGGGGCTGTTGGGAACCTAAAAGAAGGGGAACTCCCACAATCACTGTGACTTCTGCAGTGCAAAGGCAGAGCGGGCACCCTCTGGCCCTGGGTCAAGTTTGCAAGGTGCGTTTGGGTCGTGGATTCAAGATGTTGCTTCACCTAGGTCAAGGGTGAGCAGGTTTTTCAGAGAAGGGGGTTTTAATTTCTGGGAGAAGAAGGACAAGAGTTAGGAGCCCTAGAATCAGCCTATATCCAGCTGTAATATTTGGGAAATTTGCTGGGCTTACCACCTTCTTTTTCGACCTCCCTCCAGGGCTTGCTTCAGTGACCTGCAGAAGACCTACGTTGTCCTCTGGCTGGTGTTAGACTACATCTCAGACTCCATCTACGTTGGGGATATAGTGATCCGCCTGCGCACAGGTAAGCGCAAGCAGCATCCTGGCTTGTGAGTGCTTTGCTTTAATCCCCTAAAAGTGGAGATGAGCTGCAAGGGAGAGGCCTAATCTACAGCTCCGTTAGAAGGAGGGTTTTGTCTACCTTGGCACTCACTAGTATGAAGCAGTCTCCGGAGACGGTATCTAATTAAAAGATCTGAGAAACAGAGTAAGTTTCAGAGTGAAAGATTAATCATCCCAGCTTTCAACTTCACCTTTGAATAATTGCACAAAATTACCTGCATTACTGTTAGTATTCGGGCATAGTTGAAAGTCTGTATCTCTGATTTTGCATCAGTTCGGCTAATGAATTATCTACATGGGAAAATGGTAGAATTTGATGTTCTTGGAGCATGGCAGGTGGCTGCACATTTTCTGTCAGAACTGCAATAATTCATGATATGGAGAATGGAAACCTTTGTGTCCTCCTTTCTTCATGGCAACAGACTAAATCCCTAAGCAATGTCTTTAGGTGGCTTTTGCCAAATGAAGGGCTTATGTGATAACAAAATCTTGTGAACCCAATAGTTCAGGTGGAACTGGTAATATTTGGATGACCCTGTGTATATATGCACACATGTGCATGGCATACCATAAAATGTTTCTCAGAGCACTTACAAAGCCTTCAGAAGAGTTGAACATAAGCCAAGATAATCCTATCATTTACTTCTCTGTTAGGTTTCTTGGAACAGGGCCTCCTGGTTAAGGACCAAAAGAAGTTACGGGACAACTACATCCACACCTTGCAATTCAAGCTGGATGTTCTCTCCATCCTGCCCACAGACCTGGCATACTTTGCGGTGGGTTTGCACTGCCCCGAATTGCGTTTCAACAGGCTGCTGCACTTCTCCCGTATGTTCGAGTTCTTTGATAGCACTGAGACCAGAACCAGCCACCCCAACATCTTCCGCATCAGCAACTTGGTTCTTTACATTCTGGTCATCATCCACTGGAATGCCTGCATTTATTACGCCATTTCCAAGGCCATAGGTTTTGGAGAGGACACCTGGGTCTATCCCAACATCACAGACCCTGAATATGGGTATCTGACCCGGGAGTATGTCTATTGTCTCTACTGGTCTACGTTGACTTTGACCACCATTGGAGAGACCCCTCCTCCTGTGCGTGACGAAGAGTACCTCTTTGTGATCTTTGACTTCCTCATCGGTGTCCTTATCTTTGCCACCATTGTGGGGAACGTGGGATCCATGATATCCAACATGAATGCCACCAGGGCAGAGTTCCAGGCAAAAGTTGATGCCATCAAACACTACATGCAGTTCCGCAAGGTGAGCAAAGACATGGAAACCAAAGTCATCAAGTGGTTTGACTACCTCTGGACCAACAAGAAGGCAGTAGACGAACGGGAAGTCCTCAAGAATCTCCCTGATAAGTTAAGGGCAGAGATTGCCATAAATGTTCACCTGGAGACGCTGAAGAAGGTGAGGATTTTCCAGGACTGTGAGGCAGGTCTACTGGTGGAGCTGGTGCTAAAGCTTCGCCCTCAGGTGTTCAGCCCAGGGGATTACGTTTGCCGAAAAGGAGACATTGGGAAAGAGATGTACATCATCAAGGAGGGGAAGCTGGCCGTGGTGGCAGATGATGGAACAACACAGTATGCTTTGCTCACTGCAGGAGGCTGCTTTGGCGAGATCAGCATCCTCAACATTAAGGGGAGCAAAATGGGCAACAGGCGCACAGCCAACATCCGTAGCTTGGGCTACTCTGACCTCTTCTGCCTGTCAAAGGAAGATCTTATGGAAGCAGTCACAGAGTATCCTGATGCCAAAAAGGTCTTGGAGGACCGTGGCCGGGAGATCCTGATCAAGGAAGGGCTGCTGGATGAGTCAGCTGCAGAGGAAAACATAGAAGAGAAGAGTGTGGAGGAGAAGATGGACAGGCTGGCTTTAAACCTGGACACGCTGCACACCCGCTTTGGCCGGCTTCTGACAGAGTACAGTGATGCCCAGATGAAGCTCAAGCAGCGCATCACTGTTCTGGAGTCCATGATGAGGCAGCAGGATCTGGAGGACTTCTTCTCTGACAGCTCAGACAGCCTGCTTGAGGATGAGGAGAAAGCTCTACCTGGTGGGATGCAATGATGAGGCACAGAGATGATGTCTGGCCTTGTGATGAGACAGCGTTTGCTCTTTCAGATCCTGTGGCTGCCTTGGCAGGGACTTCTCTCAGGTCCTAGTATTGCTGCTGCCACTGCCTTGATGACAGCTCCTGAGGTGGCTCCAAACCAGGTGATTGTCCTAGCTCCTCCTCCAGCATGTCCTTTTCCTTGTTGCCTTGATCTGAGGCCTTGGACTTGGATCACTAAAAAGAGGAGAATGGCTAATGCCACTGTTAATGTTTCCTTCCAACTTCTGCAAAAGATCTGTGCACCTCCTTCCTCCCATTTGCCTTAATAGAAGGTGGGATATGGACCTTGCATGAAGGGGGACCTGGACATGCTGACCTTCCATGTATGTGAGGAGATAGAGTCATGGTGGACACAGCCTGCCATGTGCCACCTACTCATCTACATAGGGACCAAGGAAGAAACAGGCTTTGGAAGGTTCTGCATTCCTTGCAGAAGACAAAACCACCCCGGAGAGAGAGACTGAAACGTAAGCCAGATGTTTACAGATACATTTTTGGGGTCAGCCTTCAAAATATCAAGTCTCAGCTAAGATAGCCTCAACCTGTGCCTCAAATGGAGGGGCTTGTCTGGATCCCTGGTCATCTCCACCACCCATGCTGAGGCTGGATATCTATCTGGAAGGGCAGGCAGCTGCTGTCCTCCTGCCTGCCTGTCTTCTCCTTTCTGCTGTGTTTGGTGGCTTGGTACCCTGAGCACCACACCTTCCTAAGGGGAGAGCGTTATTCCCAAGCCCTCCCGATGCTGAGACAACAGCATGATTTCCATCCATTGGGCTATGGATGTCTCAGCTGACAAGTACTCAACAGAGGCAAAGACCACAGCTCAGCAGCCCGACAGCGCCTGTTGTGCGCCGTGCAGAAGGAAGGCAGAAACTGTCTCTCTCCTCTAACACTGGCCAGATGCACCCACGAGGGTTTGACTGAAATGAAGCGTTTTTAAGGAACAAAGCAGCGGTGGGACCCAGCTGTGCCTGTATTTACTTTGCTGTGGGTAGCTCAGAGAGAGCATAGAACACATTTATTTTCTCAGGCAGGAGGTTTTCTTGTACTCGGTGGGAGTTTTGGGGCTTTGCAGGCCGGCTGACTTCTGGACAAGAAAAGAGTGGCAGAGCCACGAGGACACTTGCGCGAGGGTGGAAATGTGGCACCATTGCGTGTACTGACAAAGGGCTGTGCTGTGGCCCTGCAAGATCCACATTTCCAGCAGCTTTGTGGTGAGGGTTGCAGCACAGGAGAAGCCACCAAAACCCTGTAAGCGAGAGCAAACTCAGCACACGCAGTAGTTCCACCCATGCCTGACAGTCCAGTTCAAGAGCTGAAAACGGGGATGCAACCTCATTTCTTGTTTCTGCACCCATGTGTAGGTGTCTGGGGACCTCCTGGTCTGCGGGCTGGGGCTGGTTTCCAAGAAGGATAATATTTGGTGCAGAAGGACATTTTCTAAGAATTCATGTATCTGGGTCAAATTCAGCCAATAGTTTGGCTAACAGAACGGGATAACCCATTGGAAACTATCAGCCCAGAAAGGTTCCGCGTGGAAAACTTGATGGTATTTGCTTTCTTTTTTCTTTTCCCTCTGATGTAAGACTGCCTCTCTTCATTTTTGTATGAGAATTTTTTGTTTAAAAATAATGGCTTTGCTTTCTGGAATTGATGAGGGAGGGAAGGTTAAATTACCAAAATCAGAATTTGGAGTGAGATAAGTTTGGGGTTTTTTGACATCTCTCAATTAAATTATAGGCTTTTTGAGGTGTATTTTTTTTTTTTATTACTAGGATGATTTTTGTTGAAGACAAGGTGGTTTCTGCTCTGCTTTTCCTTACAACACCCAAGAGCCTTGGCTCCCGACTTTCCCGTTTCCTGTGAATTTGCGGTGGGCACGGGTGGGCAGAGCATCCCCCCAAAAGCCGGAGCTCTCTGGGGGAGCAGAGGGAGGGAGAGCACCCATCTCCACCGCTGTAGCCCTTAGTAGCAGCCCTTTTGGTTTTTTGCCTAGGGAGCCAGGAGAGGGTGCTGTGAGCCGCGGCACAGCCACCCCCGCCGGAGCCGCGCCCGCCGGAGATATTCTCGTTTATTCTGGGGGGAAAGATAGAAAAAAAAACAAAAAAAAAACAGGGAAAAAACCAAACAAACCAGCAAACCGACTCCCTCTCCCAATTTAAATCCGAGATAATAATCCACGGAGGAAATTTTAAGCCTTCAGACAAATCACCCCAAAGGATGGCTTTGTAATTTCAGAGCGGATCCTGCTCTTTTTTTCTCACGGCAGCAAGCTGGGAAACCACTGATTGATGAACCGCTTGACGAGCCCGCTAATGAAATTAGTGGCAGGGGTGTGATTTTGTTTGTTTTTTTTTTTCCAGTGAGCGGGATGGGCAGATGTTGGAGGGAAGCACTCAACGGCGCAGCTGCACTTGTGGGCTGCCTGAATTCCCGGCAGCGTGGACACAGGGCACAGCAGATACAGCTTTAGCTGCTGCCAATTTTACAGGTGTTTTTGGTCCGTATCTCTTCCGCCGTAAGGGTCCCCTGGACATGGGGAGCAGAGGGCTGCCAAAGGCTGCTCCTCAGGGCTGGCATCCAGGAGGAAAAGCTGAGGGTGGCCACTGCAGGAGTCTGCTCAGCACCCTGCGGTGACTTGTCCATGCACCACATTATGTTAAACAGCTTTGCCCATATATTATCAATCATTTCCTTCTTTTAGATCTCTCCCATTGCAAAAAAAAAAATCCCCTCTACAGGAGAAGCTTTCTCAGCTATGTGTTGTGAGTGGGAGACATCAAATACGGAGCAAATATATTGACTTCCAGAGAGGTCAGACCTAAGAGAAAGGTGTGCCTCACCGGGCAGCCACCTCTTCCAGTGCCACCAAACTGGGGAAGACTCCTCACTTCTGCGGCAGATGTTTTCTGCAAATCTGCTGCTACCAAAGACCTTACCTGCCTCCACCAGAGCTGTGTGGAAAAGGACTGGGATTCTTGAGTGGATCAACCTTAAATGCATTGTATGGTACTGCGTTTCCTTCCTTCTCTCTGAGCACCGCTTCAAGGAATGAAACAAACATTGCTGGATTAGACCTGGAAAGAACTCTCTCATGTGTCTCTGGGAAATACAAGTACCCATTTCACAGCTGGGGGAATTGGAGAAAGCTTGCCAGGATAGCTCCTGCCTCCTGGCTACACTTTTTTTTCTGAAGTTGTTGACAATGAAGCCATTTTGGTGGTTGTGAGCAAGCCCCGAAATACCTTCCTCTCCTTAGGCTGTGGACAATAGGTCTGGAGACTACAGCACAGGAGACCGTCTGGCTTTGCCCCTTCTCCAGAGGTTAAGTTAGGTCAGCAAGCTGAAGCAGGGCTCATATGAGCACCTGAGGGACCCAGGACTGCCTGTGTGCTGCTGCCTGCCCAGGAGTGAGGCACTGCACGCAGAGGGCTGCCATGAGCAAAATTTTCACCTGCTCTCCAGGATCTGGGATGTGGAGGTGGTGTAGAAGGTCAACAGACTGCCATACAGCTGTTCTCTGGAGTGGGATGGTTTGCTCATGATCATTTAGATTCAATAGCTCTGAAATCAAAGCACTGCCTGTTTCTCCTGCAGGTATGAGTGCGGTTTCAAAGAAGAGGCTCTACTCTCAGCTTGTTCTCATGATCCATGTGTTGTGTCCTGGGGCTGTTCCTGGGAAATGGCTGGAGAGGGCAATCAGCACCCACCAGCACAGCAGCTGCTGTTGAAGAGTTTTTGGCAGTGCTGTGCAAGATTTTTCTTTGCAGCCCCTGATGAGTATCTGAGGACCTTCCTGAGGTGAGTCCTTTACTCATTGAGGTGTGAACTGCCCCTCGGAGGGGAAGGTTAGTGCTGTGCACCCAGCACGTCATGCAGACTGGTGGGTGCTCAGTCCCAGTGCTGTCCTGTGGTGCTCAAGCTCTCTATCACCCCTGTTTTCACATGGGATCTCGATGTGGTTCACAGGCAGTATCACCATCCCCATGAGCATGTTTCCCAGCCAGGAGGAGCAGAGCCGAAGTGGTTGACTGTCGCACCTCTCTTGCCGGTGGCAGGAGGTTGCAGACCTGCACATTGTGCTCTTATGCTGGTTTGTTTGCTCCCCTCCTCATTCCCTGTTAGAAATACCACGGTCCTGCCTCCTCCTTGGTTAAACAAGAAGTAGTACCCATTCCTTCCTGAATCGGAGTGTGTGTTGCCATGACAGCAGCTCAGGGTGATGGGTGAGCAGGAGGTGAAGACAATTCAGCCATATGCCTTGGAGGGATGAAAGGAAAACCCTGGGATTCCTTTCGAACACCCCATCTCCTCCAGACCCACCAGCTTGGGTGTGTAGAGGGCGAACGTTTCCTTGCCCCATCGTGAGACTCTCCTTGTTGCCCTCCTCAGCCCATCCCTGAAGGTTGTCTCCTAAGAGAAACTCAATGGGCTGGTAGTCCCTCTCAACTCAAGGTGAGTAAACCCGTTGGAGCAAAGTGGGCTTTGGAAGAACTCAGCAGGCTCTGCCCATTGCTGGGAGCTCCACAGTGCAGTGGAGCTGTGCCAGGGCAGCACAGGGTGTTGGAGCCAGGCAGGGTTGCAGTGATAGAGTCTGAGCTGGGTCTTGGAGCCAGGATCCAGGCTTGGGCTGGGTAATACTGGCACAGGATTGATTGCCTCTAAGCTTGCCACCTCCTTTGCTGGTTCCTCCAGCCTCTGGGGTGGGGGACATATCTCCCAACACATTCTGTTTAGGATGAAAGCTTGCAGAGCCAGATTCTGTAAAAGGGGGTGTCTGCAGACTGCCCATCTCCTTCCTTCTCCTTCCTCTGAGACTCCAGTCACCTTTGTCCCCTCCCTACCTCAAGCAACATGTTATTCCTCGACCTGTTCCTAAATACTGCCTTTGGGTCTCAGCCACATGTCACATCATGTCTTTTAGACTTGAGGGTGGAGGGGAGGGAGGGGAAAT